GCTTCTGGCTTTCATAGTTTGCATTGAAAATCCAGCTGTGATCCTAATGGGTTTTCCTTTATATGTGACTTGTTGTTTCTCTTCTGCAGCTTTCCGTATTGTCTCTTTGTTCTGTACGCTTAGTGATTTTACTGTGATGTGCCGTGGAGATTTTCTTTTCTGGTCCTGTCTGTTTGGTGTTCTATATGCAGATAGAAGCAATTTTTGATGAGAATGCTATGTAAATTCTCTTTTTATTATCACAAAGAAATCAGATGTCCATTTGTTCTTTGGCCCAATTAATGAAAGCACAGTAACTAAAAGAAATGATAATACCCTTTGTCTTGAGATATTTGGAATAGTATATTTGGTCTGGTGTTTTCCACATTTCTTTGATTTTGATCAGGAACATGCCAGAAGGTACAGTAGCCAGAGACAAACTTCTCTAACAAGGAAGTAGGTTATGTTTCCACTTGGCAAGAAGAACTTGAGCAACTTTGATCTTTAACTGTTCTTTTAGAAACTCAAGGGAACAGGAAACAAAGCTCAGCATGGGGAAATAACCTCTGCCAAATCCAGACTTTGCATCCGGACTCAGGTCATCCTTTCCCAATCCAATGCCTACTGCTGCTGGTGTCTGGAAGGCCGAGTGAGCTGACTGATGTGGCCCAAAGTGTAGAAGTGCTATATGCACATGTGCAGAGTCAGACCTCTTCCCACTGACGTGAATGGGTTCCTGTTGCAATTTCAGGAAGAACTGACACAGTTAAGCCCGAGTTTCCTGGCAAGCGCAAGGGTAGGTTTTTCCAAAAGGCATTTTAGACCACAAACGCACAGGCTTTCCGTGTCTAATCATGAACTCAAACCACTGGACACATGCTCTCTGTTTCCAGTTGCTTGTGTATGTTTTCTTCACACTTTAACAAAAACGTGCCAAGGTGTGATATTTATGAACTCCACCAACTGGGCGCTGTGCACACAGTGGTTCATCTAAGCTTCCAGTTCTCTTTTTTGATTTTATAGTGGAGTGGCTAGATGGCTTTTCTCTTCAGGAGTTTCTACCGAGGCCCAAGTCAGATGAGGATCAGATGCTCTTAGGGTTTCTCCTAAGATCTGGATCTCTCCAGGAAAGATTTTGGCCTCAGGAATTTGGGGGTTGGACTGGCCTGGTAGCAGGGCCCAGGAAAGATGGTGGTTTGGGGTAGCTGTTAGCCTTGCCATCCGGAGATGCAAAGGGGATGGGGGTAGGAAGAGACCCCAAGGGCTCCTGGGGATTGCAGGGAGGAACTTGGTTGGTCTGGATTCAAAGGATCAGGAAGCTGAGAGGTCAGCCCTGCTTTCCAGGAAAGAGGCTGGTGGGTTGTGCAGCCCAGGGAGCCAGAGGGAGGGAAGGGCAGGGACAGGCCCGGAGGGCTCCTGGGGAAGGCTGGAAGGAACTGGGTTGGTCTGGATGCAAAGGATCAGGAAGCAGTGGTGGTTCCACCGGTGTCTGGGGCACCAAGACAAGGCATGGGACAGGATCCAGGCTAGGAGGAGAGACAGGCAGGGGAGATGGGTGGGTGAATGAAGCTGGGGAAGTCAAGGCCCAGAGGGTGCAATCAACTTACCCCAGAGAGTGGGTTGTACAGGCCCAGAGAAGCAGAGGGAGATGAGGGCAGGATCAGGCCCAGAGGGCTCCCAGGGGATTGCGAGAAGTAACTGGGTCTGTCTGGATGCAAGGGATCAGGAAGCAGTGGTGGCCCTGGGCCGAGAGGTCAGCCCAGTGTCCAGGAAAGAGACTGGCAGCCACGCAGCCCATGGTAGCAGAGGGAGGTGAGGGCAGGACTAGGTCCAGAGGACTCAGGAGAGAGGCTGGTAGGTTGTGCAGCCCAGGGAAGCAGGGGGGAAATGTTTGAATTTTTGAAAATAAAATTTCTGTATTACTGACAGTTAATGTGAAAACTAGAAGTATTTATGAATCAGTGATACAATTCCAGAATTTTCTAGAAAAGATGATTTAGGAATCTAGAAGTGTTCTCAGAAGAACAGACAGCGTGAGCTGATAGAATTTTTGGTCTTCCTGTAGAACATTATCTCCGTTTCTCTTCGTATGATCTCATCCATCACTGAGCTTTATGGATGTCATAGGCCATGGCTAAGTTTGGTAATGACCATTGCTTCTCTGTGTATGAAAACGTAGCTGTCCTAGGGGACCCTGATGTCCACAGTTGAACATGAGTGTGCCATTGCTCTGGTTATCCTTTTCCATGGGTAAATGGTCTTCTTTTGGGTAGAAAGAACTCAGATCACAGCAGAATGTTGAGGAGGTAGTTTGGCCTTATTCCACTTGAACCCAAAGAAGAGAAGGTAAACTCATAGGAGATTTTTTATTTTTATTTTTATTTTTATTTTTTGTCTTTTTGAGACAGGGTCTCCCTGTAGCCCCAGCTGTCCTGGAAATCACTATGTAGACCAGGCTGGCCTTGAACTCACAGAGATCCGCCTGCCTCTGCCTCCCAAGTACTGGGACTATAGGCGTGCACCACCACACAGAGATAATTTTTTTAAAACATCGCAAACCCACACTAAGTTTAAAAATGAGGGCAAAACAAATCATGTAGAATTGTGTATTGGATTTCTACTACTGTGACAAAATACCATAAAGAATTAGCTTTATGAGGAGGAAAGGTTTATTTTGGCTCACAGGCTCTAGGTTCTCAATTCATGGTCACTTGGCTTTACTGCTTGGTGCCTGTGATAGTGTAGTACATCATGGTAGTGCATGTGGTGGAAGAAGTCTGTTCACATCATGGTAGCCCAGAAGCCAAAGTGAGAAGTAAGAAACAGTCTCAATATCCCCTTCAAATATATGCCCTCCTTGACCTAACTCCAACTAGACCTCACCTCTCGAAGGTCCCACCACCCTCCAGTAGCACCTCAGCTGAGGATCAGACCTTTAACGCATGCATATTTAGGGAAGACTTAAGATCCAAACTACAGCAAACAAGAACAGAAGATTTTTTATTGCATAAATTAATGCAGTCTTCATGGTTGGGGACCAAAGTATTCTAGTTAATCAAACATTCTACTATTAGGAAATGGACTATTTGTCAATAATATATTGTAAAAGTCAATTATTTTGTTTTATTTTTATGTAATTTACTAAAATCTCTTAGGATTTCAACATTTTGGCACCTGTCTACCTTACTGTCTCTTTTTAAAACAAACTTTTATTATTGGGCTGGAGAGATGGCTCAGTGGTTAAGAGCACTGACTGCTCTTGCAGAAGATCCAGGTTCAATTCCCAGTACCCACGTGGTGCTTATCAACCATCTGAAACCGCAGTTCCAGCAGATCCCACACTCTTTTCTGACCTCCAAGGGCATTGTATTATACAGGTGCACTTAACACACATGCAGCCAATACACTTATACGTATAAAATAAAATTAATAAATAAAGTTTAAAACAAACAAACTTTTATTGACCATTTTTATGCTCTGAATGTTCTACATGTCTAACTCATTTAGCCCTGACAGCAGTCCACCCCTTGTTGAGGTGCCAGGAAGCTGTTCTATGCTTGACCTCAGCTGTTGCTCTTCAAGATTGGCAGTGGCACTGTGTACTAGTGAGTGACTGTGAGAGGAACCTCACTGCCCTGCTCAGCTGTTGGACCCACACTTAGGAATTGGTTCTGCCAAGGGCCTCTGATCTGCCAAGGGTCTCTGTGCTCTGACTCACTGCCCTCTTCCTCATCCTAACTCAGGTCTCCCCACTTAATGTTTCTGATTATTTTTTCTCACTATCTTTATAAAACTATTATATTTATTTTTCCAATAAAAAAGATCTAGAATCTTTTTTGTAAGAACAATTTAGTATCATTAAATACAGTCATAACTTGCAGCCATCACCATCATGTGTCTCTTTTCATCTTTTCAACTGAAACTGTCTCATTAAACATGAACTGCCCATTCCCCTTACCCCCAGCAAGCCCTTTCTCTGAGTGACTGCAATTGGTCATATAAATGCGACCATACATTTTCTGTGCTTTTGTGACTGACTGGCTTACTTCACTTAACACAATGTTTTCAAGGTTTGTCCATGCTGAAGCCTGTGTCGGAATGCCCTTCCTTTCTGATTTTCCTACTGAGGACTGAACCCAGAGCCTCACACATGCTAGGCAAGTGCTCTACACTGAGATACAGCCTCCATATCATACTATTCCACTGTGCAAATACATCATGTTTTCTCTATCCCTTTGTCCTTCGATGACCACTTGCATTGCTCCACCTTCTGGCTCTTATGTCTAGTGCTGTCATGAGGATAGGTGTAGAGTTTTCTCTTTGGGTACCAGTTTTCAGTTGTTTGGGGTAAACTCTATGGAAATTCTTTCTTTTTTTAATTTTTTTAATTTTGAGGGACTGTTCTCCATAGAGGCTGAGCCATTTGACGTTCTCCACCAACAGCCACTAAGGTTCAAGTGTCCCCACATCACATCCTTGCCAACACTTCTGACATCTTCGTGTGTGTGTGTGTGTGTGTGTTTGTGTGTGTGTGTCCTAACGGATATGAGCAGCTAACTTTTTACCTTCTTTCATCATCATTTAAGCACTCTATAGAAACAAGCTTTTATGATACATATTTTTGACTGGCACAGATAACTTCCCATTTTATGTGACAATTATTAAAATTTTTTTCTTGTTGATTTTTATATTGCTACACAGTATCAACATGAAGCTTTGAAAATAAAAGTGCAATGTCTGCTAAGTGAGAGCCATCCCATCAAATCCCTCCCTATCCACTAACTCTTCCGAGTTGACTTTAAACTAAGATGCAATTTTGTGATTTTCCACAAAGGCACCGAATTTCATTCCAATATCATTCTTTCCTCAGAAAATCCATTCCTCGCTGTCGAAGAATTAACAGGATGCTCTCCAATGAATCCATGCATACTCCTGCCTTCAGCCGCTCCAACTCTCAAGCCTCCGTAGACAGTGCATCCATGGAGGAGTTCTGGCGAGAAATAGGAAGTATTAAAGAGAACAGCATAGGGGCTCTGGAAGAGCAGCTGCCATCGGCCTCTGAAGTCAAGCCTGTGGATGGTAAGGGGCTGACCTGCCCAGTGTGTGTTACCCTTGTCCTGTCAGCCAGCAGAAATCATCCCACTGGTAGTTTAGCAAATGAGTCGGGAAAGTTTGGCAAAGCTACCTGCTCCCACTGAGTTGCCTGGCCTCAGTGGCCCAAAGTGGTTGAACTGAGGGAAGGTGGGCCTCAGAAACATCCAGATTATTCATATTTCTACTAATAGATGGTTTTCATTAGATTTGGTTGGTTTTTATCAGGCAGACTGAGTATCCTATGTTGTTGGTTTTGCATTTGTGAACTTGATGAGAGAGGGGAGAGAGAGAGAGAGAGAGAGAGAGAGAGAGAGAGAGAG